CCCCACTATCAAACGCCGGAAGATGGCATGATCTGGTCAGGTTACACGACACAAAAGCCTCTGCAAGGCAACGTTGACGGTGGACGCAAGCAGGGACGTCAACGCAAGAGCTGATCAGACAACATGAAAGAGTGGACGGACATTACAATGCCGGAACTACTGAGAAACAAGCCCCAACAGATAATCTAAGGGAAAGTGTTTGTTTCTGATACATTTTGATGACCCCGATGATTATAGCAGTTGAATCGCTGCTGATGATGATAATGATTCCCGAAAGTTTATTAGGAGCAACATGTTCCATCAATTAACTGTATCACCTTGCATAAGTTTTAAGCGATTATTTAAAACCAGTAAAGCCCTGCTGCATATTTACCAGTCTTATTACCTAAAATTCAATCAATCAGATACCTTTTCCAAATTCGGCATCTTTCCTTCAATGGCGTAGGTACGGTGTATTATTATAATGCCTTTAACAGGAGATGTCATCGATTTGGTTTTAAATGCTCGATGCCAAACTCTGTATGCGGTTTCCATCTCATGATTTCATACTTGATCCGTTGATCTTGTTTTGAATGCCTGACAACTGTAGTAAAAGACATATTTTTCCTCAATATGATGAATCTCTTATACCAACGTCGTCTGTCTATTAGTTTTTTTCTGTTGAAAAATCGAACCAAGGATTGAATGCAATAAACACACTATTAGATTCTACAGCATCAACTATTGACACACATACACAAAGACACGCTCACACTTATACACGCACACACATACACATACACACACACAAACACTCACACACACACACACACATATATATATATATATATATATATATATATAATTAAACGGATTAAGTCAGACAATTGTTCAATATATTTTCTGTTTATACGTTTATCTAACGTAAAAAACAGAATTTAAACATATAACATAAACAGAACGTATAAACGGATTTTCAGTTTATATTTATAGCTATAAAAAACATAAATAGAAAATATATTAAATACATACATACATACATATATATATATATATATATATATATATATATATATATATGTGTGTGTGTGTGTGTGTGTGTGTGTGCGCGCGCGCGCGCGCGTGTGTGCATCTGTGCGTGTGTGATAAAATGCAGTTACTTGGGAGGACGCGATAGTTGAAGCATATGACGTATTTTAACGAACATTTCCATTGCAGAGAGGGGCGGACGAATTTATACCATTTCCAACGCTATGACATTTCGACGCCAATTAGAGTTATACTACTTCTTCTCTGTGCCGTGTCCTTTCTAGACGTGGAGGATTGTGTCTCTCCACAATATCCTGTCCTTTATAACTGTGGGTAAAGATTGTATCTTTGCTATCTTTCCTCATTGCTACTACCAAGCGTACAATCAAATGTAAGAAAATCACTCAAACTTCAATCAGTGACTCTATATAAGAATTTCGAACAAATAAAGACTGCAAACTCTGCTTCTTCCAATGATCAAATAAAGAGCAAAATATCATGAAAATATAATGTTGCTATTTAAATCCATTGCTCGGTAAACTGATAAGAAATTTGGTTCACTGTGTCGCCCGAAACAATTTTTCTCCAGAATTTATCATACATATCTATCAGTCTACTATTCATCGAGGCTTGGAATATTGCTGCCACATATGATCCGGTGCCCCTGAAATTTGCCTTGAATTTCTCGATAAAATTCAACGAAGAATCAGCAATATTATCAGTCCTGATATGGCGGCTTGGCTTCACTTTCCCCCAGGCTGTCTCTCTGTGACAGTTTCTTAATACATTTATGTTAATTGCTCCGATAAGCTCTTCGCTATGTGTTGTAGAGTAGTTTCACACTGGAGGCTTGTATTTCACTAAGTCGGTCCTAAAAAGTTTCGACGTACAAAAATGTTAGGAACTTGATATAATAGTTAATGACGCAGCAATCTAGTTGTGGTGGTTGATACTTTAATGTCCGACATCGACTGACTCTGAGCGACTTCGCGACTGCTACTACTTAACAATAGAACAGATATGTTCCATTATAACACTATGGTACCTAGACTTTTTTTGTATTTAAGCACAGTACTAGACTGACGTCAAGATCTCGTCAATTTACATTTGAACTGACTAGATATAACCGTAGATTTTATGCTAACAGTCTCTTTTCTCGCTCTTCTCGTTTGTAGAACTCCTTTTCGGCCCTATGCTTACCAGCCAACTTTAATCTGCCTAATAATAAATGCAATGTTAATCGCTATTTACTATCCTCTTGATTAGTCTTTTCTCTTCCCGCTCATTATTAATGTTTCCGTTCCTAATTTTTCCACACCTAGTAACCCCTTGTGTCTTAGTGGCTTTACTGCCTTGCTTGGGGTGGAACTGATAAAAAAATTTGATCCTCTCGTAAAAATAAAAGCAAATAGGTTAGATTTATTTTAATAGTTTCTGTAGATTAACATACATTTCCTCTTACTCTTCCCACAACCGAATTTTTCAGAATTGAAATATATTAATTATTTGTTATTTCAGATGGGATGTCCTGTTCCTAACATAATCACCGTGCCAAAGCAATGCTTGACTTTTTTTTAAAGAGATATCGGTGTTCTGTTGTCAAGTTTGAGACTGTGATTACTCAATGATAAATGTTTAATTCCTTGAATGTAATGGTAACAAATACGTAAATCTCAATAGGAGTTTTACCATCTAGCAGGATTCTACTAAATTTTCAGCCGTAGAAATACCAAGGTCATAAAACCAAAGTTTTATAAGACTGACTGAGATTGAAAATTATATTGGAATATTTCAAGAAGAAAGCATTTGTTTATTTTGTTTATTACTGTTTATCAACCTTTTGTAGATTATTTAAAGCCGGGAAATATTTTTTTAGATTGTAAGAAATTTTTGGAGATATTAATGGTTTACTAATACTGGTGCTACTAAATAACCCATAGCTTGGAGGGAGAGGAGATGGATCCATACCTCACCCAAGCGTATTTGCGCGTAACGAACCCAACTGGAATTAGAACTCGAATCTCCAATTTCCAACAAGAAGAATGGAATTTATGCAAATGTGAAATAATGCAGTTAGTTAAATAGACCAGAATTGAGAGAGAGAGAGAGAGAGAGAGAGAGAGAGAGAGAGAGAGAGAGAGAAAGAAAGAAAGAAAGAAAGAGTGTGAGTGAGTATGGCAAAAAAAATTATCTGTCTATATTTATGAGATGTGATATTGTAATTATTTACACTATTTACATTATTCGGACAAAAAAAAAACTTCAGAAACCGATGTTGTCAATGACACAAAGCCTAGTGGATAAAAGTATTGGTTGAAGCCAGTGACTTAACCCAAAGGTTTATGACGTCAATGTCTGGCCACAACAGTGGGGGACAAAATCTTGGCGAGTTGATTTAAAAGGTAGATAACTGATACTTTGATATTTTGTTGAATATATTTAATCTTTAACATTTCAAGTTATTTTTTATGTCATTTTGGTAAATATATCTCTTGAAACAAGATTTCAGTGTTATTTTCATTTTTTGCTTAATTAGATGCCAGTTTATCCATCGCACCCTGTACTTGTGTGTGTGTTTGTTTGTTTTGTTTATTTTTTTTTGTTTTTTTTTTAAGTTATGCTTTACTAAAGTGGAGCTGACAGCAATGGCGGTGTTTCCCCGATCACTACAATCTTAACCTGTTCAAAGCTAAGGTTAAAGGTTAACTTCTCCACATAAACTCTGTCGCTTATTCTGTAAATTTCGAGCACGAGTGGTTCTAGGTTCTTGTCATCATTGTGAAAAGAAATGTCATTAAACTCAACAAAAATTTACGTTTATAATCACACCAGCTGCATCGTAGAATTTAATCGACTAATGACAAATACATACCTCACTTAACGACCGGACTGGTCACTAAATGAGAAATTATATTTCACTGCTATTTCAGATAGGTTATGCATTGGTTTAACCAATTTCACATAGCTTTAATGTCACTCTTGCGCTATTTCTAGCACTTCTATTTTATTTCTAAATTATTATGCAATAGAGTGGTTTACTAAACACTAAACGTAACAAACAAAATTCGAAAATCAGTTCTGTGTTGTGCAAATTGGTTTGTATACTGTAAATAATGTATAAGTAATATTTTATTTACTTTCACTCCTTTTATTTATTTTGTTTATTTTGATTTATTTTAAAGGAACAGAAAGCAATCACGATCAAAACTTTCGTACAATTTACAATTGTGGTTGGTTCGAATTTTTATTTTGCATTTTATGAGATTTAATAATGGATCGTAAATGCGAGTTTTGCGAAACAGATTCATTTTTAGAAGAGGTGTGACTGCATACTCATTAGATTTAAGCCCTCTATGGAATGTGAAATGGAAAGAGAAATGAAGGACAAAGAAAACTACATAGAAAACAAAGGAATGTCATAGGAAAAAAGGAGGTTATTTTGAATCTTATAATTTATATCTGACCACAGAAATACACACACAAACACACACAAACATACACACAAACAGAAAATGGATTTTTATGTGTACACGAATATCAACAGTACAGTGAATTTGATTGAAGAAAAAATTCATTAAATAAAGAAAGAAAACTTCTTCGATATAATGAAACAGAGGAATCGCTAAAATGGATAGAATGTAAAATCTTAAATAAAATAAAAATTATGACAAAAAAAAAAAAAGAAAAAAAAAAAAGGTTTGCAACGAAAAGCGAGAAGGAAAAAGAAAACTCAAGCAGAATGAAAAAACAAAAACCAAAATGTTTAAAAGGGAAAATGAAGAAAAAAACAAAAAACAAAATAACGATCCTAACTGAAAATTTATCAGCCGAGTCACGAATAAAAGGCTGAGCTTTTTTTTCTGCTTGACTGACGGTTTTCGTTTTTTTTCCGGAAGCACAAGGTGACCATTTTTGTCCAAAGCAGATCCTCTCTAATGGACTTCCGGTTGTTGCTTAGGCTGATGGGAATGTGTCAGACTACATGTCCAGAAATGACAATCTCTCTCTCTCTCTCTCTTATTCTCTCTCCTTTACTCTCTCCCTTACTCTCTCTCTCTTACTCTCTCCCTTACTCTCTCTCTCATTCATTGCCTCTCCGTTTCCTTTTTGAAACAGTAATTATTCTTTTTTGTTTTTTAATTTTATTTCGTGACAATCTGTCTCCCTTGCCTACTCTATTTAGCCTACTGCACTCTGCTTTTTCGCGTCTGCATTTAGTTCCATATCTTCTTGTAACCTCACAATTTCATCTTCAATCTCGTTCACTCTCCCCTTAAAAAATAACACTGCTTTTATTTCTTTCTAGCTTCTTTTACGATCAAAATTGAAGTAGCAACCCGCTCAAAATAATACTTCAAGATCTTTATATTCATTACATTCATAGATACATGCACTCATATATATATATATATATATATATATATATATATATATATATATATATATATATATATATATATATGTATATATGTATATACACACATACACACACACACACACATATATATATATATATATATATATATATATATATATATATATATTAAGAAATATACATAATATCTTAAATTAATTAAACAGCTTAGTTTCAGGCGAAAGCAATTTTCAAGTGCTGAAATGATTTCACCAATTGAAAATACAAATATACCTACGCTTATCTCGTTATTTCCTTAATTAGTTAATATCTCTTTATTTAGTTTATAGAGTAAATAAAGAGATATTATATTTATATCCACATTCCTTGCTGTCGTTTTTGCGGAATAGCGAGCAGCTGCCTCTACGCATTATATCTTAGACTTCCTCAACTTTTGAAATCTTCTTCCTTTCAAATGCTATTTGATTTTTGAAGCAGAGAAACTCAAAAACAGTGGAACCTGAGGAATATTGATGCTGTCGGACTTGAATCTGTGTCATGTGTGTGCGTTTGTATGTGTACGTGCGTAGATGTGTGTGTGTGTTTGTGGGTGGATGAGAATATGACCTATAAATTTCTGTTCGTCAGAACAATCTTAAGTCATTGAATGCAAGGTGGCAAAAATTCTAATACCGGAGCCAAGATTTTACATTCTAGGCTATAATGATGTTACAAAATGGCAGAAACTTCGAGGATCTTAAATAAATATATATTTTATAAAGCAGCACTGACTATGATTTCGATGTAAAAATGCGGCTTTTTTTATTTATTTAAAAGATAATGTAATTATATAAAACGAAAACTTATAGAAAGTGCACTGAATTTTAGATAATCAACCACGAATTTTCTATAAGTTCTCACAGCATATCACCTTTCTTAAAAAATCGTCAGTTGTCACAATGTACAATCTTTTAAAAACAACGGTGATAGAAGCAAAAACAAAAGAGTTTGGAAACAGAATGAAATCGGTTGAAATGTGCCTGTAGAAAAATCTGTCAGGAAACTTAAAAATAAAAAATATATATATATATATATATATATATATATATATATATATATATATATATATACAAAAAGCCAATTGAAGATTGATTCCATCTCAACAGTAAACCTAAGTGCTGGATGGATACCATTTAGCTATTTTTTCACATTTGGTACCAATCCAAGGTAATCTGAGGTAAACTGGGCATTTTTTATGTAGGAGGGTTTTAATAATGTTAATCTTGCGCTTAGTGGGACAAAAAGAGTCCCAACGTATATACAACACTGCGAAAGTAGGTTTTCTATAAACAGAAGTGAGAAAACCTGTTAATGTACGATGTACTAATACATCCAAAAAGGCTAACTGAAGATTGATTCCTTCTCAACAGTACACCTCAGTGCTGGATGGATACCATTTAGCTATTTTTTTCACATTTGGTACCAATCCAGATTAATCTGAGGTAAACTGGGCATTATATATATATATATATATATATATATATATATATATATATATATATATATATGAAAAGTGTATATAAATATAAATAAATATATATATGCATAATTATTTATATATTATATGCACGGTACTTATTAGAAAGCGCTCAATATCAGAGATAGAGCTAACATATCAGTTTGTCTGACGATCGCTAAAGCGTGAAACCCAGGGTCACAAACTCACATCTATCCAACCAAATATATATATATATATATATATCATCGAATCGGTAGTCGGTTTATGCAAATATTACTAACCCTTATTTAATTTATCTGTATCTCACTCACTCAAACCGTTATTTAACTTCTCTCTTTAAAACTTCTCTCTTTTACATTTTATGCCTCATCCTCATCTTAAGGCCTTTCCTGTTTTTCTTTTTTCCGTTACACCTCTCTCTAGAGCTTGCATATATTTCCCTGTCACCCTTGTTTCTCCTCCCACACATAAACTTTCATTGAAATTTTGTTTGTTTTTTTAAAGCCCGGCATATATTTTCTATTTTTTTTTTTTTTTGAATTTGAATTTGTAGGTCTGATGAATTGGATCAGGATTAAGATTCCATTGAAATAAATTATAACCATGGAATAATAATGTTTGAGCCTTATATATATCTATAATATATATATATATATATATATATATATATATATATATATATATATATATATATAATTGGTATATATGGAATGAATTCCAATAACCAACAATTACTATTCTTAAAAGAGTGCTCAATACAAAGTAGAGCAGATATAATTATTTTTATAAAAAAATTATAACATAAGTATGTTATAAAATCACTACAAAAATAGCCATTTTGTTTCAACACACTCTGTGTCTTATCAAGTGATGATGTTGAAAATAAAATAAATGGTTTTAAAAGTTTCAGATTAATTAACGATCCTACACTAGGGGGAAACATTGTTACAAAAGCTAGAATAACCAATCAAAAACCAAGTATAGAAACATTCTAAAGCTATCATATAATTTTATAATTATTGGTTAGTATAAATTATTTTTAATATTACCCGTATTTTAAAGATCTGAATAGCTATTATAACATGATTTCGTTGTCAAGCTTTTGAATCTTTCTATACTTGGTTTTTGATTGGTTATTCTAGCTTTTGTAACAATGTTTCCCCCGAGTGTAGGATCGTTAATTAATATGAAACTTTTAAAACCATTTATTTTATTTTCAACATCATCACTTGATAAGACACAGAGTGTGTTGAAACAAAATGGCTATTTTTGTAGTGATTTTATAACATACTTATGTTATAATTTTTTTTTATAAAAAATAATTATATATATATATATATACATATATATATATATATATAGTTTTAGGTATGCTATATTTATGACTTAAAGTGCTCGATTCTACAGATAGAGCACATGTAAATATAAAGTTGGACATTAAAGTCAACATCCACCGTCGACAGTCAGTTTCATGCTTAAACGCAATCGTCAGTCCATGTGCATTCTGTTTTGACTCGACTATTTATATATATGCTCATCAGCGGTGGATTATGGTTAGGCCCGTTGTAGTATTCTAACGGTTATTTCATCGGCGGTAACGGTTATGTTTCGAGTTACTTCAGTGGTTATAGAGTGGAAATAATTGTGGATCTGCATTCAGTTTTATGGCTACTTTATAGTGTTGTTATTTCACTTTATTGTCGATTGTTTGGTTCTTTGTTTATTGTTATGTTTAGTTATCCTTTATGTGTGCATTCGTAGTTCGTCAGCTTGTTTATTATTTACTTAATTTAGATAAAAACAGACAAAACCAGAAAAACAAAATCAACCGATTGTTCATGTTTTTTGAAAATGGATAACACTATTATGATTGGCTGGTTGGTTGTTTTTGCTTAGTGGCACATCAACTATTGGTTAAATTAATACTGAAATCTAAACATTTTTTGTACACAATTTTATTTTATTTTTGGAGATAATAATGATTTAGTGACACAAATCCTACTAATTAACCCGTAGTTGGGGGAAGAAGAGGTGGGTTCATACATTTTCCAAGAGTATTTGCACATATGTGAAATAACGAACACGACTGGAATTGAAACTCGGTTCTCCGATTAACAATTCAAGAGTCATTATCCGTTACACAACCCACGCAACCAAGCTTACAGCACCTAGTATTTCCAAGTGGTTACCCATCTGACCAGGCTCGACGTTGCTTTACTCAAGTGTTATGAACTAAGTCCGACAATTATTTCAACATATTTTCTGTTTATACCTTGTTTTTATAGATACAATTATTTAAATAAATGCTCAGTTTATAATAAACACTATTAACAGCATTTACCGGCCTGAATGCCCGAAAAATTTCATAGAAAATATTTGTCTTCCGACAGGAATCGAACCTGTGTCCTACACGGAACCGTCATATAGCCTGACGTGCTATAACATTTAGCTACAGAGGAAGTGTCTTGTTACCAAAGTCAAATTACTGCTTTTAAACAACAAATTCCCATGATTTTTCTCGAAAGATCTTCTCTGGCCGTAGCGAATCTTAACGTAAGCAAATGACAACATATATAAAATGAAATGTCCGACAATTATTTTAATATATTTTATTTTCATGCGTTATTTTTTAAAGATACAAATATTTAAGTAAATGTTCTGTTTATAATAAACAGTATTAACTACATCAACCGGCCAGAATGTACGAGGAATTTCATACAAAATATATGTCCTCCATCAGGAATTGAACCTGTACCCTACACGTAACCGTCATATAGCCTGCCGTGCTCTACCATTTAGCTACAGAGAAAGTCAAATTACTCTCTTTAAACAACAAATTTACCATGATTTTACACGAATGCTCATATCTGCCCGAAGCGTATCTTAACTTAAACAAATTACATCATATGTTATGAAATGGACTAAGTCCGTGAAGTATTTTAATATATTTTCTGCTCATACACTATTTTTATACAGACAAATATTTAAGTAAATCTAACAGTGTTCCTGCTGCACTTGGATACAATATATTCTTCTGTACTGTTTGTGGTCTTTTGTGCAATTCTGGAGCCGGTCTCAAAAGTCATGACCGTCATAAACATGCAGATAATTAGTTCGTATCGTCGGAACCTCAGATGTCGAACTCAACTATATATATATATATATATATATATATGTGTGTGTGTGTGTGTGTGTGTGTGTGTGTGTGATTATTTCTCGTTTCTGAATACTAAGGTAGCTAG